TGCTGCCCAACAGCAGCTGGGCATGTAACCAAACAAGCCTCTAGCTAGCAGCCCTGACGAGGACAGACGGGCGTCAGGGCCTGGACCCGGGCAGTGCCCAGCTGTTCCACAGTCCGCCTGACCCACCTCTCCACCAAGATCAAACACACTCAATTACTGTGTCATAAATGCACTATATGGTGTTTGGAGATCCATTTACCTGCTGTTCCTCCAGATTTTTCCATCAATATGTACTATTATCATGCTTTTTTCTGTACTTACAATGCTCTCCTTCCAAAAATAATCAGGAAAGGTGATTAACCAAAACATCCAACTGACAGCTTGGCCTGACCCGATAGATTCTTCACATAGAGACTTGAGCAGGGAATTTAAATGTAAGGACTTTGGAAAATATACAAAAATACAATCATTGTAAGTAATTAGGATTTGAAAAGCAAACCCTTGAGGCTGGTATGAGGAGGCTGTGGCAAGTGGAAATAGTTAAACTTGTCTTGTAAATACAAAATATGTATCTTCCAAGGCTGATAAAATCCAAATCTGTTTCCCACTTGGGATGAAACTCCTCAACATTTTCCTCATTTCAGATCTTCTAAAAACAACCAGAAATCTTCATCTATTTTTCCTCATGTTTGTGTAGAATATTAACTTAAAATAACTTTCCTATTTCCTTATTGTTCTGTCCATAGCGTTGTGATGACTGATGAGAGCAGGGTAGTTATTATGCTATTATTGGTTCCATAAACCAATAAAGTAGATTGAAATCAGACGCTGATTTCTGGGCCCATCCTTAATCTCCCCTTTCATTGTACTCCTCCATTCTACCACAAAATTTTAACCCCCAAATAATCTCCATGTCTTACTCAGCAAGTTCAAAAAATTTCCCCTCCTGCCAGCTGTTGTGCATACAATGATTTTTTAATGAGTCATCCTGATAGCTTAAGACAAACTTGATTAGAAAGCTCAGCAGCTTACAAACCATTCATGGACATTCAAAACAAAACTGAAAATCGTGGCTATTAAGCTTATTGCATCTCTTCTTCTTCTGCATAGTTTGGGTACTATAGGGAACTCAGAAGGCCCTGAATTTTGCGCTATTATTAAATCGTGTAATCAGAAATTGAGATGGTTGTAATCAGAAAACAGTGCTTCATAACCCAAACATCGAGTTACTATTTTGGGGTACTAGCTATTGGCAAATGGCTCCTGTTTTCAAGTATTCTAGTAGAAAATCGAATAGTATAGCAAAAAATAATACAGAAAAGGTCGAGAAAGAAAGGGAAAAGTCATTATTTAGCAACAGACAGGCGCAGTAGTGGTGAAGCCACAGGATTACGGCTAAAATGGACAGAAGCGGTTTCAGGTCCAGCTTTGGCAGAAGTTGTTTTGGATACAAGGGATATTTGCTCTTGGAGTTCCCCCGCAAGGAGGCGAGAAGCAGCTTGTGGCATCAGAACAGGTGTTCTCGCTGGGCACTGGCGAGGGGCGTCGGCACAGCCTGGGGAGCTGCGTCCCGGGAGGAGAGCATCACTGGATGCCCCTTCTGCACTCTTACTGGGCACAGTCTTCACCATGTGTGTGTTTTGGTGTCCTCGGGCTGCTGCAACAGGGACCACAGACCAGGCAGCTCCAGGAGACCGGGGCTTGCTCTCAGAGCTCTGAGGCTGGAGGTCCGACCCAGGTGTGGCGGGGCCGTGCTCCCTGCTGGCTAGGGGCGAGCCCCTTCTCTGCCTCCTGCAGCTTCGGGTGGCGCCTGCATTTCTGGCTTGGCAGCCATAGGACTCCAGCCTGTGTCTTCTCCTTGGTGTGCTGCTCTCCACGCTCCCTCTTACAGGGACACATGTGACTGCATTTAGGGTCACTTGCCAGGAGTCTCCTTCACAGGCTGCTGAGGGTTCAGTTGGCCTTTGAGTGGTGAACGCCCTGTGTTGGTAGTGAGATGAGCGTGTGGAGGGATGGCCTCCCTACCCAAGCTTACCCCAGGTCTTAGATGCCTTGCTCTGTGGGGCACTGGTATGAAAAAGAGGTGGAGGTGTCAGGACCACCTATGCGGCCAGCCTCTACCAGGAGCACCATCCTCTCCAGGGCACATTTGCAACAAGCACAGAACAAAGTGGGGATGGGGGTGGGCCAGTGAGTACTCTGTCCTGTTGGGGACAGCGCGCCACTCTAGGATAGCAGTTGAGCAGAAGAAATATGAGCCCATGAGTAGGAAGAGAGTAAAATCAGTTCATGGAAGCACCTAAAGTCTGAATAGCCACAATTTGGGGGATTTTTTTTCCTTTTGCATTTTATAACCTACCATTCAAGCAGCAGGGAGAAGAAAAACTACATGCAGCCCAGCGAACCACATGTAACCTCCAATTCAAAGGTCATTGAATTGAGGCGGAGGAGGGAGGCTAGTGCCGAGAAGGTAGATGGTAGCTGTGCCCCTGCAGGTGAGGCGGACTCCACCTGAGAATAACCAGAACACCACCTGGCGAGGCATCTAGTCCCAGGTGTCCTCACACGATATGCTTTGATTTCCTTTGCTCGCGAGTGCGATGTCTGAAGCTTGGTGTTCCCCCAAATCTGTCTGTTGGCCTATGTCCGAGGTGATGGTATCAGAAGCCTCTGGGAGGTCACGAGGGGGATCCTCCTGGGTGGGACTAGTGACTTTATTAAAGAGATCCAGAGACTCCCCAAGCCCTTCTCCTGCACGAGGACACAGCCAGAAGACTGCAAGCTGCAAGGAGCCAGGCCCAGCGCCATGCGGGTGCCTGATCTGGGCCCCCCGGCCGCGGGAACTGAGGGAAATGAGTGTGTGCTGGTTGACGAGCTCTGCGGCCCACGATGCCTTGTGGCAGCAGCCCACATGGACTGCGTGTGTTAGCGGCTGTTCTGCTCCAGCCACACTGACCTCCTGCTTTAAAGGGGCATGGACTTCAGAGCCAGAGCACCTGCCTCTTGCTAACTGTGTGCTTGGGAAACAATCACTTCCCTTGTCTTATTCTCAACTTTCTCATCTGTGAAATGGGAAAACGCAGGGAGATCAGTGTCTCGGGACGAGTGTGGCCCTGCAGGGAGACAGAGTCCAGGAAGGGCACTTTAAACTGTCCTTCTGCAAACCGTTGTCTTCCTAGCACAGGACCATCGGGCTGGCCCTTTTTCTTTCTCATCCGGCCCAGCATGGTCTGCCTTGGTTGGTCCTGTGTTAAGTGTATTAGCACTTCTTGCCACCAGGTTACAGGTGCTTAATGGCACAGGCTGTGCGTTACCTGTTCTTGGACCCACTTTCACTGTAACACTTTCAGTGTCTTGGGCCAGTAGCTACCACTCAACAAACTCTTATCAGGGTAGAGAGAAGAGCCCTGGCTATGGCCTGGGAGGCTTCTACACTTGCTCTTTGGTCTCCGGTATCGTTCTCGAGCTATAATGTGCCAAGGAATCACCCAAGGAACTCGTTCATAAAGGCCATTTATAGTCTACTATGCTATAGATATGCTTGGGGCAGGGCCAGGAATCTGCATTTAAAAGGAACTAATATGACAATTAATTATATTTATATTATCTCTTGAAAAGTAATAATTAGAGAAAACACACTGTTTTCTTGAGCCAGAAGTCATGCTAGGTAATTAAAAAAAAAGATAATAGTTTTTCTCCACTGTTTGGATATAGGCTTTCTTGTCTTGGGAACTCTGGGATCATTTGTACAGAAGTGTTGATGATGTTGCCAGGAGGGCGATGTTTCCTCACTCACACTGGCAGGTGCAATGGCTGCTTCTAGACTACGGGGTTATCCACATCATGTCTTCAGTCTTGACAGTTCGCCTGGAACTTTCATCAAGTTCAAAGTTCTAGCCGGGATCATGGCCAAGTAATCCATATTACTTCCTTGAGGCTGGCTCACACAGAGTAGAGTCTGAATCCTCTCTTCCCCTCCCACCTCTCAAGAGGGTATGAATATTTTTAACACACCCCAGATGATTCTGAGCAGGCGCTGGTGAAACACTCCATTAGAAGCAGACAAGGAGCCATTGATCCAGATTTCTCTATCACCTGAGCTCCATTCATTCAACTAGAAGGGAGGAGGTGGTTTAAAAGGAAGGAAGGCAGAAGATGTGCAATAGAAGGTGTTTTCATCTGGGAGGAACTGGAAGCTGGAGTTGGGTCATTTACACATTTCTCAGAAAGTTGACTTGGGAGCAGTGTTGGCACGGCTGAGCCCTGCCTGAGCAGACACAGTGGGGACACCCGTGGGTCTGATGTGTTATACCCTTGTGCCTGGTGCTGTCCGTGGTTGCCTCGTTTATCCCAGTTCCCTTGCTCTTAATCCTGCTCCCAGCGATGCCTGCCATTCATGGTGTTATATTTTACCTACTACAAGAAGTGATTATATCCTCATCTTGATAGCCCGTGACTATTTCCATGCTAGAATTAACTCTGGAGATGTGGGTGCAGCTACATAAACATTCTAGGCACAGAGTGTGAAGCTGTTTTTGATGCAGATGACAGATAGAGGCTTTACACTAAAGACATCTCCTGGGGTTTTTGAATATGAAGTTGCATGCTACAGAGAGAACTTTGCCACCTTGTCTCAACCTGGTTTAGAATAATGTGTTTTTTTAAAATCGCATTTTTTTTTAATTGAGGTAATGTTGGTATACGACACCAGATACGATTCAGAGATACAGGATCATACCTCTTCAGAAGGAGGTCCACATTATTTTTACCAACTGTGACTTTGTTAATTCACGACTGGAGGGAATGAGAAAGTCAGGGTTCAGCCTCCATTCACAGGCAGCCAGACATCCCCAGAGCTTTTGGGGTGCTGGCTTGGAGTGTGCTGTGACGTTAATACCAGCAATTTTATTGTTTGCTGTTAAATAAAGGAGGCTTTGCTATGGAGAATATCAACTCGAGTGGCTGGGAGATTGGTGCGTGGAGTAAGGGAGGGAGAGATAGCTAGCCTGAACAGGAGACAAACCCCCAGAGGCTTCAGAACGTATTAGATTGAGACTTACATTAAATCTCGAAGTACTTGTCTGCCTGGATCGTTTTTCTGCCAGTAGATCTTTGACTGTATGCTTCACTCTCACGCCCTGATACACTCGTTTGCTGTAGTCTCCTGGGACTTAAGCAAATGAAATAGTAACAATCAATTGTGGATGGAAGAATTCAGTTAACCTCCTAAGGGGCACATTCAAGGGCTGATAATTGCGATGCTATTTGCTCGTTAAAGTGATAGATTTCTTGAACTGGAAGTCACCTCAACAGAGATCATTTTGCCCCCTCCCCTGTTTCTTGAAAGAAAGTCATCCCCTCTCTGCTTAAGAGAAAGAAACACTGTTCCATCTTTTACCAGCAGCTCATCAAGTCTCCTATTTTTGTATTCTGATTTGCCCCAGGAAGATTTATAATTTGTGTTTTAATCTTGAGATCAGAGATCAGATGCACCTGCAATAATGCTTCTTACTACATGATGCAAACATGAGCTTTGCATGATTCAGGTTACAGAGTGACAGTGTCCCTGCCGCATCATCTCTGTGATGTAGATGAGCAGGTCAACTGGATGGCCTCAAGAAGAAAGTTCCTTATTATCTGTCTTCTCTACTAAATTAACTATTTTTAATTTTTGAAACTAAGGTGATACAACATGAGAAATTGTCGCTTCGAAGTTAGGCCAAAGACAGGAAGGAATCATCCATTCCCCTAACAGATATTTATCGAGCCCATACTCTGTGCTTACCAAACACACTACAGTGCTTGGAAATTGACATGTATTATTTAATTTGCTCCAATTTACAGATGAAGACACTGAGGTTGGGGGCTAAGTTCTTTGCCAAGCTCTCATGATTGCTGGTCAGCAATAAAGTGGGGATCCAAGAAAAATATTTCCCTGAGGTTCTGAAATCTTCAGCTCTGCTTCTAGGGATAGTGAGTCAGGGGCTGCCCAGGAGAGCCTTCGATGTGGACTATTACAGAACACATATAGGCACCGAATTAGTAGTTGAACTGGGGGAATTGTAAAGTATTTTCTAACTGAAATAATTGTTCTATAGTGGGTTGGATGGTTTTAGTTCTATTTTATTGAGGTGTTGCTGGCAATTTCAGCTGGCACAGAATTCAGCATCAGGGTGCGTGACTAAACATAATGAACACGAATGTATTAGGCATCTAACCAAAAATATCCTCTAATCTGACTGAATGTGTAGTCTAAGGCTGTAATTTGATTTATGAGCTAAATCTCCATGCAGAAAGAATGGAAGGGAGAAACCCCAACCAGAAGTAAGGCCAAGTGGGAAGTGGATGGAAGAGGCTGTTAGCTTGGGGCTCAGCTCTCACACCCCACATGGGTGTCACTGGGTTGGGAAATCAGCCTCTCAGCTCCATTTTCTTCATCTGTAAAATGGCTATAAGAACCTCTCCATAGCTGACTTCAGAGTTTTATTGAACGTGCATGTGATGTGACCATGCTTTGGAAACTGCTAGATTTTACACAAAATGCCTCTACAAAATGGAGAACTAGGTTCCAAGAAAATATATTATTTAATTCAAATAAAGCCACATGCACCCTGATTTCCACAAAACAGAGTTATCTGTAGGGTGAGTTAGCTGTACTTTTGAGGGTTTTGGTTTATATATCCTTTAATTAAGGGGGTTTGAATTATTTCATTTAAATCAGCCTCAAATCCAAAGCTTAATAACCTTATGTTTGTTCCAAAGGAATCAAGTATTGCATCTAGAGTTGTGTACAATATCCCCTCCTACCCTCTTTCCCCCCTACCCCCCTTTTGGGAGAAGTTTAAGGCTACATTTACTTATCAATTATAATTATTGTCTCTGTGTCAGGCATTGTGTCAGGACTGGGATACAAAAGAACATGCTATCTGGTGGGAGGAGAGAAATACTTAAAATCATTATAATGCAAATGTGCTAAGTGCAACAATGGAAAATTGCCTGGGAGATTCAGAACACAGAAGATGCCAGTCCCTGGTGAAGGCAGGCAGGGAGTGAGGGAAAACAAGGGGATGCTGACCTCAGGTCAGAGTGTGTGGTGTTGGTAAACTGGCCCAGAACATTCCAGTCTGACAGACAGGCCTGGAGACAAGAACAGAATAAGGCATGTGAGAGAGGAAGTGACAGGGGTAAAGCTGGGAAAGGAACCCAGTAGCTCAGTTATGAAGTTTCTTGTGTTTGAAGGAGTTTGGACTTTGTCCTGTGGGCAGTGACCCCCTGGAGGCTTTTAATCAAGGGAGCAGTGTGGCTGGATTTGCATTTTATTTAATTAAAAAATATTTTTATTGTGGTAGTGGTAGCCTTGGTTTACATCATTGTTGGTATCTTGGAACTATGGGGCCCCCTCCTCAGGTGGTGGTAGACTTTTCTGGCAGCCGCAAGGAGGGTGAATTTAAACATCACAAAACCACAGGGAGACCAGTCAGGAGAATTCTGGAATAACTCAGTCAAGAGGCAGTGGGTCCGAGCAGTGGTAGACAGGAGAGAGAGCGCGGGGCAGACATCTCAGAGCCACCATGTTGTTGATGGTGATGAGTCAGAGGATGAAATCTCAGGGGCAAGTGTGTGAAAGGCAGAGTCTGTAATAACACAGGGGGGATGATGTGTGCCTGGGGGAGACAAGCCAGGTGACCCCAGCACCTGTGAGGATCAGAATCTTGGGTTCCTCACGCTCTGGTTGGGAAACTCTGGACTAGACTAGGTGTTTAAAGATGGAAGCCTGGCGATCAGCCTCATCCAAAGGGCCTTCAGAGAAGGAGAAGAGAAGCCTTTGAGGAAGAAAGTGGTTGGTGAAGAACTGGAAAAACCAGGGGAATAAGGAAGGTATCTAGAATTCAGGGGAAGGGAGCTCAATAAAGGAGGAAAAAGCAGGAATGTGGAATGGCCAACAGGGGTCCGGGAAGGTAAGGACAGCAGAGCATCCGTTGTCTTCAGTGTTGTGGTTTCAGTGCTTAGCAAGAGCAATTTGGGAAGAATGTGGGGGTGGCCAGAGGCCAGGTAATAATGTCCCGGGAGGAGGCAAAGACAGAGAGGGAGACCTCTTGAAGTTCGAATGACAAAGAGAAGTTAGCAAGGGGATGATACCTGGAAAGAGCCATAGTGTCAAGCAGAGCTTTGCTTGTGATTTGCTATCTATGTGTGCATTTCTGGGTTACAGAGATTTGAGGAGATGTGAACGGCACTCAAGGGACGGTGGGAGTAAACATGGAGAAAAGGAGACACTACGATGTGAGGACATCTTGAAGAGGAAGGAGAAACCGGGGTCAAGGGCATTCACTCGGCGCTCATCCTCGGTAGGGCAGAGGCGGGTGGCCGAGTGGTGTGGGCAGTGGCTGCGAGGCTGGAGTGCCCACCGAGCAGCCTGGAGGAGGAGAGAGACGCAGGGACTAAAGGTCAGACGCGAGCAAGGGTTCGAGTCAGACAGACAAGGGGAGCCCTATGATCCTCGAAGTGCGTCCCGGGGCCGGCAGCAGCCGCGCTGGCTGGGACTTGCTAGGAGAGCAGGTCCTCGGTGCTCCTCCCGATGCACTGCGGGCGAGGGCCCCTCCGTACATACATGTGTTGACAGGCCCTCTTGGTCATTCTGATGTTCTCTGAGGTTTGAGAACCACAGACGTACGTAAGGGTAAAGACTTCATGAAGTGGAGGGAAACACTAGGTCTCCTAGCTGCGCAGGACGGGGAGAGTCGGGCTGATGGGTGGCGGCGTGGACCTCAGCTGGGGGAGTCAGGGGTAAAGGTGAAGGGTCCAGGCTGAATCCTTTGTGTGTTGCAGCCAGTCTTGGCCTTATTTATTTATTTATTTTTTCCAAAACGGCTTTTCATGGATGATTTTGATTTGATTTATCAAGATATGCTGGATGTTACACCAAAAAGCCTAGAGGAAGCGGCACCTATTCTAAGTAAGTTTGACAGATAACCACAAGGCGATTAGCAGGCAGAGAGAAAGTTTATGAGATGGCAAATAACCAGAGCAAAACTCGTGAAGTTGTTTCCGAAGCAGTCAGCGGCGCGCTGGGCAGTGCTGACTCCGTGCAGGGTCGCGGGCAGCGTGCCTGAGTGGGTGCAAAATAAATGAGCGCATAGAGCAGATGTCCTTCAGGAGACCTGCTTTAGCGAGAGAAATAAAACATTGAAAAAAAAGACATTCGTGTGTGGAAGAGGAGAGAGGAGAGAAGAGGACACTGCGGTGCTGGCGAAAGCTTTGTGGGCTGAGCTGAGGCTCGGATGTGGCCTGGAGGTTAGGCGGAGGGAGGGAGGCCCTGCAGATGCCAGGCGTGGCAGGAGCTCAGCAGAGGCATGAAGGAGCAAGGCATGTGTAGAGGGGTGAGGATCGGGGCAGGTGGGTTCATGGATTTAAACACCCTCTCAACGAGCATGAATTTCCAAGGCCTGTTGTGAGCCCAGACCTGTAGGTGTTCACACTTGGACATTCTTCTTCACCTGGGGCCAGGTAGATGCTTTGACCATCGCATCTCCAGATCTGAACCCATTCTTCTCGCATATTCGCTTTACCTGCCATCTTCTCTGTCTCAGTTGTTGCCAGGTCCATCCTTCTAGTGGCTCACACTGTAGGGTCAACCTCAGCTCCTCTCTTTCTCATACTGCACTACCAGCCTTCAGGAAGTCCTGATGGTGCTAACCTGCAAAATAACTCCACAACCTGCTGACTTTTCTGCTCCTCCACTGCTAACATCCAGGTTCAGTCCCCGGTCATCTCTTGCACATGACTGCAGCAGCCCCTTAACTGGCCTCCTCACTGCCCTGCTTCCCAGCCTTCACCCCTGCTCCCTGTTCTCAGCACAGCAGGCAAAGTGACCCTTTAAAAAAGAAAATCCGTTCATGTCACTCCTCAAAAACACACCGTGATTTCTGTTTCACTCAGAGTAAAAGCCAAAGTCCCTCCTATGGCCCAACATGGCTTGGCTTTGATGCTCGAGAGTCTGATCTCATCCCGGACACTAGCCCCGTGCTCACTACTCTCCAGCCAGTTTCTGAGATGCTCCAGACACACCACTTCTGCCTGCAGACCTCGCATCGCTATCCACTCTGTCTGGAATTTTCTCTCTCCTCCCCCACCACCATTATCCACATGCCCTTGTCTCTCAAGAGTTGGCTCAACTGTATTCTTTTTTTTTAAATTGTGCACTTTATTTATTTTTTTTAAAAGATTTATTTATTTATGCAAGCACTGGGTACAGTCAGAAGCACTGGAGGGTGAGAGAATTCACCAGAGCCAGAGCGGGGAGCAGAACAGGCAGAAGGACTGAAGTACACTGCTGAGGGGAGCAGCGGGCGGCAGGAGAGGTCTGTGCACCATGTGGGACCCTCCTCCAGCAGCCGGGGAGCAGCCGGGGATCGAACCGGCGCTGCAAAGGCTGTGGGCAGCTTCGCAACCCAGCGCTCAACCGCTGCGCCACCGGGGAGGCCCTCAACCGTACTCTTAATGAGAACATAGTTAAATTATGTTGCTTTTCCCCATAAAATATTGTGGATCCCCTTACACTATTCTACTATTTCTTTTTATGTAGCATTTACACTTATAATGTCCTATATAACTTCCTCATGTATTAAGTGTATTGCTTAGGGGCTGTCTCCTCCTTATTTAAAATCAGTTCCACTGGGCTTGGCTTTCATTAAATTCTTCTTGGAAGCATCTTTTTTGGTTGTTGTTGAGAATGAAGGAAATGTTGACCATCTTGAAAGCCAGACTGTACAAATTTGTACTGTATGTTGCAGATGATGGAAAACACCAAACTTTTTGAACACAAGAGTATGACTTTGTCATATTTGGGGGAAGATTTGGAGTACCTCTTTGGAAGACGAATCTGAGGGTAGATCCTAGGAGAGGTTGAGGATGAGGAAGCAGATAGGCTGGAAAATGGTAAAACAGTAAGAGAATCACAAGATAGTGGAAGTGACCGGGAAGGGACCAGACCGAGGCAACTTTCAAAAGAAAACACGCGTGTGCTATTGTGCACACTATGCACACTCACAGACTGGAATGCATGGGGCGAGAAATCAAGGAGACAAAGAAGAGAGCTGGTGGACTTCGAGCTTGGGTGGCATAATCAAAAATGGCCTGCAGATCCTTTTAGCTGGAACTTTGGAACTTTGACCAGGGTTAGAACGGTGCTTCTAAGCTTTGTCTTTAAATCTATGGTAGTTAAGATTATGAAAATAAAACTCCTCAAGGAAGAGTTTATAGTAAGAGAAGGCTAGAAATTTAATTCCTGTACCTCTGCTGCCCAGGGGAGCCGGCACGGACAGGGGGTGGGGTGCAAGGACAGGCCAGAGACTCAGGGCAGAGCAAACGGAGGGTGTCAAGTATCTGCACTAAGAAGACTGCAGTAAATCCTTGCGGAGTAGATGAAAAAACACAATAGAATCAACTATAAGGAAATAATACTTGTAGACTAAGTAAAATGACTCCTAGAGAGGCTGAGGGAAGTGAAGTTGGAGAAAGGTTTTAGGAAAAGGTAAAGACTGGGCGAGAAAGAGGTTTTCTCTGAGGCAGGAAGGAAATATACTCTCTGGGGCTTTCTCGAAGTGGGGCAAAGCCATGCTCTGAAGCAGTGGCACAAAAAGGCAAACACCTACACTTCGCACAGCACAACAAGAGGATTAAAACAAATTTTAACTCAGCCACAGAACCTAGTACAAATTCTTAAATCTATCACCTGGTTTACTCCTCCCGTTCCTGAGAATTCTGGTTTCTTAAGCTCCTGAGTTTCTGCCCTCTTTTTTGGAAAGGAATGATATTTACTTTAAAAACCTTACAGGCATTCCTACTCCAGTGCATTGTGTCTATTTAAAGAGCCCACACCTGCAGAAACCAGGAATCACTTAAGCTTCTTTATTCAAATACTCTAGATACAAACTTGCATTCAGCTCAGTTGTTGAGAAAACAAAGACATGTTTCCGGACAGAAAGCACAAGCAAATATCAATATGAATCAATTTAGCCTTTAGAATTTGGAAAAATCTTTTTTTGTGCTTAATATTGTGATTGTGTATATGTGACACATTGGCACAGACACTGCTGGTTCCTGTTGGCTTGATGGGCTGAGCCCATAGTCAGGTGAATGGTCCTGTGGGTCCTGTGGTTTTTTTCCACCACGTCCCATTTATACATGTGCCGAAATGGGATATTTAAAATGTAGGCAATTCCTAAAGTACTTTTAATTATGCAATAGCAAACACACTTATGGTGTCTGAAGCACCTACTGATTTTACAAGTTTTGATGCCATTCTCTGGAATACATCTTCTGCCTTTTAAATTCTCGAGAGTCTCTAAGCAGGTGCTCCTTACACCAGGTGAGGGAGTCAAGAGATAGTTCAAGGCAGACCAAAGAGTAGAACCAAACACCATCCACAGCTTTAGGGAAGAACAAATCCTAAACTGTGGTCCCGCAAATATGAAACAGGCGCATTTATGCTCAAGACAAAGACCTGGAGCCACAGGGCTTGGTGGGCAGCCTCTGCCTTGTTCCTTGTGTGCTGTGGGCCAAGTGTCCTGAGGAGGCCTCCTGGCCAGGGGCAGTCCAGTGTGTGGGCACCTGTCAGGCTCAGGTGCCATCCTGGCGCTGTGCGGACCCCTTCCCCGCCCTGCTAACCCAGCACAGCCTGCCTTGCTGGGGAGCCGGGTGCCCTCTCCGGGGGAGGCAGAGGCCCACTGAGGAATCATAGTGCTAGTTCAGTCCCCACGGGCAGCTCAGCCTTTGAGTTCCGCTTGTATCTGGGGAGAGGGCACCCTACTGGTTTAACTCGGGCAAACCTCCCTGGGAACACCAGGTAAGGCAAGGTCATCAAAGAATCCTGAAATACCCCCATGGAATCTGGAAGTAAAGATGGAGACTTTTAAACTGTGTGAGTTTACCACGTTAGGATTTTATAGAAGTTTGGTTGGCTCCCATCTTAGGCATCTATAAGCCCCTCCTAGGAGCCACCCCTCTCTCCCACCTTCTAAGTCTCCAAACTGGATCCAAAAGGGAGGGACAGGGAGCCTCGGGGTGGGAACACAGCTGGGAGGGGGCCCGTTGGTCTAGGCCAAAGGACTGTGGGTGCTTTGGCGGTGGGCATGGTTGGGGGCATCCCTCTGAGGGGGGTGAGCCTAGTTCCCTAAATCATACACAGCATCGTAAACCAATATGACATCAATAAGCAAAACCAAACCAAAAACGTAGCCCGTATGTCAACTGTTAGTTCCCTGCTTAGGACTCTCACTATCTCCTTAACTTTGGAGATGTGACTTCGAAGAGCCTGGAGCATTTAAAAAATATATTACTTTTTCTTTCACGGTACTTTACATTCTTGAAATATTTCTTCTGTCATCATTTGTCAACATCTCAAAATGTGGACTTTTTAGTCTCCAATTTGTTCCTCAATGGGTGGGTTTTACTCTATGTTGATAATAACATCTGTGTCCGGGGGGCTTAAACCAGCTGGGGGTGATCTGGGTGTCCTTTGAAATAGATATGAAAATAGATAGGAAATAACAGCTCAGGCTCTTATACACATGTGGAAAATTTTCACCTTTAGCCTAAAGTAAGATGTGTGAATAAAAGATATTTCAAGTTGTAGATAACTGTAGACTCTTCTGCTTTCTGTATAATTGAGCACTTACTGGAAATTATTATATTTAATGTGCACCGTCATTATGCTAGAAGAGTTCTTAATACGTAACTCCTCATTTAAAAAAATAATGATAAATGGAGTTGATGTCTCAGAAGAAATGCCAACCTAGATTGTATGAGCAGTAAAAGTATATTGAACCATTAGTAATTAAATATGACTAGAATCCTGAAAATGTTACCGAAAGTTGGAATTTGTTGGTCTTCTTGCCAGAGTTAGGGATTTTTTTTTTCTTGTCTGCTTTATGTTATCTTTATGACATCAAAAAATAAATATTTGGATTATTAAGGTTAAAAATATTTAATAATAGACATTGACTCACCACTTTCCATTCTGGATGGTTCTGGAGAATTTCCTTAATGGCAGGTAGGATGCCTGGAGGATGGCGTGTTCTGCTTGATAAAGGGATCCTGGTCTCCTGTGAAGGTCAGCCTGATGCTGATGGAAAGGCTTCTCTGTACAAGGCTGTGATGCTGCTGAAATGCCTTGCTTTAGATTTGAGTAAATGCAAATTCTTTGGTGTCTGTTATTCTACAATTTGCATCCCTCATGTAGACTGTCTATGGAGGTAATTTTTCTTTCCCAAGAAGATTTTTATTCAGTAACAATGAGTTTCCTTTGGGAACATACTCTCTTAAAAGTTTATTATGGAAACAAGGAATCCATTATTTGTTTTCCGAATAGCAGTGGACTTTTCTATCCCTTTAATATCGGATTAGGTTTTGCAAAATCGCCCATACAGTGGTTCCCAGCAGGAAATACAGGTACTATGTCTGTAATACTTGGATTATGGGGGCATGATTTTTAAAAAGTGGACATCTTTCAGCTAGAGATAGAATTCTAGGAAGATATTTTTATATTTAATTAGAGATAAAAAAGAATGTCACCTTAATACAGTTGGCTAACCATCTTACCATACATAAAACGTAAAACATAACCCTCTAGCAGAGGTTCCTGAGCTTACCCTTACCAGTACATCGGAATCACCAGTGGAGCTGGCTGCAATTATCTTTGCTCGGAGCCGGTCCCATTCTATTTCAGAACCATTTGGGGAGTAGGGGCCAGATAGCTATATTTTAAAACAAACTTTCTGATTGTCAAAAGGATTTTCTTTGTTGCATATTCAGCCTGTGAGCTCTTTTAGAGCGAATTTTAAGGTAAAATCAAATTTGAGGTCCTTTCTGGTATTTCCCTTGTTCATCCTTCTCTACAGATGCTGCTTAACCTACTGTTGGTTCTGTAGCCCAGCCCTGAGCAGAGTTCCTGCTTGTTCTAGGCAGGTGCAGCGCTGTTATTTGGGAACTTCAGATGAATCTCACCCCAAGGGCATGTGTCCTTACCTCATTTCAGACCAGAGAAATGTAGAGAGCTGTGGCTTTGAAGGTGCATTCTGCAGATCCCCAGAGGTCCCAGGGACTGGCTCAGGGGACTGGCAAAGTCCCAATTAATTTCATAATAAAATAACACGTGATTTGACTCTTATTTTCTCACTTTCATGAGTTTACAGAAGAACTTTCTACAAGTGATCTCAAATAGATTAAGTGAAAAAGCAGGTGTGACTATCAACAATGGATAGATCAACAAGACAAAAAATAAGTAAAGAAACCAAAGCTCTAAATAAGGACCTAGAGCAATTGGGCTTAACAGACATCTATAGAACACTAAACCCCAAAAAAACGGAGTACACATTTTTCTCAAGCGCACACGGATCATTCTCCAGGATCGATCACATACTGGGGCACAAGACAAACATCAACAGATACACCAAGATTGAAATCATATCAACCATCTTTTCTGACCATGAAGGCGTCAAACTAGAAATAAACCATAAAAAGAAGGCAAGGAACTTTCCTACCTCATGGAGATTAAAAACCACACTACTGGAAGACCATTGGACTAATGAGGAGATCAAAGAAGAAATTAAAAAATTTTTTGAATTGAACGACAAGGAGGACACCAATATCCTAAATGTATGGGATGCAGCAAAAGCAGTAATAAGAGGAAAATATATAGCAATAGAAGCTCACATCAAGAAACAAGAAAGAACGCAAAGAAACAACCTAATCTCGAAGCTCAAAGATCTAGAAAAAGAACAACAAGAAAACCCCAAAACCAGTAGAAGAAAAGAAATAATAAAAACCAAAGCAGAAATAAATGAAATTGAAACTAAAAAAACAATCCAAAAGATCAATGAAACCAAGAGCTGGTTCTTTGAAAAAATCAATAAAATAGACAAACCCCTAGCCAGGCTCACAAAGGAAAAAAGGGAGAAAGCACAAATAAACAGGATCATCAATGAAAGAGGAGAAATCACAACGGACACAGCAGAAATCAAAAGAATAATCAGTAACTACTATGAACAGTTATATGGAAACAAGTTTAACAATCTAGAGGAGATGGACAAATTCCTACAACTCTACAATCACCCAAAGCTAGATAAAGAAGAAATAGAACACCTAAACAGACCAATTACAATTAGCGAAATTGAAATGGTAATCAAAAACCTCCCCAAAAACAAAAGCCCAGGACCTGATGGATTTACAAATGAATTCTACCAAACATTCAGAGACGAATTAGTGCCTATCCTTCACAAACTCTTCCAAAAAATTGAGAAGGAAGGGACAATACCAAACACGTTCTATGAAGCCAACATTACACTAATACCAAAACCGAACAAGGACAACACAAAAAAGGAAAACTATAGGCCAATCTCCCTAATGAACACTGATGCAAAAATCCTCAATAAAATTTTAGCTATCAGAATCCAACAATGTATCCATAAGATAATTCACCACGACCAAGTTGGATTCATTCCAGGGGCACAAGGATGGTTTAACATCCGAAAATCAATCAACGTTATCCAACACATCAACAAAAAGAAATATAAAAACCATATGATAATATCAATAGATGCTGAGAAAGCTTTCGACAAAGTGCAACACCCATTCATGATAAAAGCCCTTGAAGTTCTTGGGATACAAGGAACATACCTCAACATCATAAAGGCCATCTATGACAAGCCAACAGCCAGTATCATTCTCAATGGTGAAAAGCTGAAAGCAATTCCATTAAGATCTGGAACAAGACAAGGATGTCCACTCTCACCATTGCTTTTCAATATAATACTGGAAGTCCTAGCCAGGGCAATAAGACAAGAGAAAGACATCCAAGGAATCCAAATAGGAAAAGAAGAAGTCAAGCTATCACTATTTGCAGACGATATGATATTATACATAGAGAACCCCAAAAACTCCACAGAAAAGCTAATTCAACTCATCAATCAGTTCAGTAAAGTGGCAGGATACAAAATCAACACGCAAAAGTCAGTAGCCTTCCTATACACAAACAATAAATCTGAAGAAGAAGAAATCAAAAAGACCATCCCTTTTGTTATTGAAACAAAAAAAATCAAATATTTGGGAATAAATCTAACAAAAGAGGTAAAGGACCTATACAAAGAAAACTATAAAACACTGTTAAAAGAAATAGAAGAAGACACAAAGAAATGGAGAGACATCCCCTGCTCATGGATTGGAAGAATAAACATTATTAAAATGGCCATCCTTCCAAAAGCAATATACAGATTCAATGCTATTCCAATCAAAATTTCAATGTCATTCTTCAAAGAAATAGAACAATTATTGATGAAATTCATATGGAATCACAAAAAACCCCGAATAGCCAAAGCTCTCCTGAAAAAAAAAGAAGGGAATGGAGGCATCAGACTCCCAGACTTCAAACTATACTACAAAGCCATAATCATCAAAACTGCATGGTATTGGAACAAGAACAGACATACAGACCAATGGAATCGAATAGAAAATCCAGAAATAAACCCACAGATTTATGGTCAACTAATCTTTGACAAAGGAGCAAAGACTATGCATTGGAGCAAAGAAAGTTTGTTCAATAAATGGTGCTGGGAAAACTGGGTCGCTACATGCAAAAGAATGAAGCTTGACCACCACCTCACACCATACACAAAAATCAACTCAAAATGGATTAAAGAACTAGACATAAGACCTGAAACCATAAAATATATAGAAGGAAATATAGGCGAAACACTACGTGATTTGCACATCAAAGACATCTTTACAGACACATCACCCAAAGCAGTGATAGTGAAGGCAAAGATAAACAGCTGGGACTATATCAAATTAAAGAGCTTTTGCACAGCAAAAGAGACAATAACAAAAACAAAGAGAAACCCCACCAACTGGGAGAACATTTTTGCACCCAACACTAATGATAAAGGACTGATCACAAAAATCTGCAAAGAGCTGATGAGACTCAACAACAACAAAGAAAATAATCCAGTCAAAAAATGGGCAGAAGAGCTTAAAAGAAACTTCTCTGAAGAGGAAATGCAAATGGCCAACAGGCATATGAAAAAATGTTCAACATCACTTGTCATCAGGGAAATGCAAATCAAAACTACCATGAGATACCATCTTACACCAGTGAGAATGGCACATATTAAAAAAACTAGCAACAACAAATGTTGGCGAGGGTGTGGAGAAAAAGGAACTCTTCTCCACTGTTGGTGGGAGTGCAAACTGGTCCAACCACTGTGGAAAGCTGTGTGGAGATTTCTGGACCTACTAAACATAGAGCTTCCATATGACCCAGCAATTCCACTCCTAGGTATTTACCCAAAGGACACAGAAACATCAATTCCAAAGAACACCTGCACCCCTATGTTTATAGCAGCACTGTTTACAATAGCTAAGCTTTGGAAACAACCCAAATGCCCAAAAATAGATGACTGGATCAAGAAGATGTGGTACATATATACCATGGAATATTACTCAGCATTCAAAAAAGATAAACACATGCAATTTGCAGCAACATGGATGGCGCTGGAAGGGATCATGCTCAGCGAAATAAGCCAAAAAGAAAAAGAAAAATACCGGATGGTCTCACTCATAGCAGGAATCTAGAAAACTTAAATAATGGACCAGGAAAATGAATAACTATAAGAAAGTGAAAATCAAAATCAACAAAAAACTATGAACCAGAGACACTTTTAGGGGGGCGGGGGCGGGAGGGGAGGGATTGGGGTCAGAATGGGGGGCTGCAATTGTATGGGGAATATAACAATAAAATTTATAAAAAAAAAAAAAAAAAAAAAAAAAAAAAAAAAGAAAAAGCAGGTGTGACCATCTAGTCATTTTTTTGGAAAGAATTCAGGAGATTTGAAAAATTATAAAACTCTTACCCTTCTCAATATATCTATTTGGAAAACATAGCTTTTTTAAAAATTAAAAGTTTATTTAGGTTAACATCTAATGGTTGACTATATTAAATGAATAATGTTAAAAAAATTCTTAGCTTAATTTC